ACTGCTCTTGCTGCACATACCTGTTTCAACAGGTATCCCAAAATAATTCCTGTACCGTAATTGTTCTGTCATGAACTCTGTAGAAATGCTGTTATTAACAACCATTCATGGCTCAGTTGTCTCACATAAATCTTGTTATATTTTTGAAGTACGGATGTAAAGAGCTGATAATACCAAAAGCTTGTTTTTACGAATATTCCTTTTACTTTTCAGCATCTATTTAAGAATTGAATTGAACTGCACTGCTAATAAATGTGAGATTAGGACATGGCAAATGCATAAACAAGCGTATTATGGATTGCATTTAGAAACCATCAGCTCTTTTCAGAATTAATGAGCCAGAACTAACATATATTAATTAATTCCTGTAATATAAATAATTTTTGTCCGGTAATTAAGTCAATTAATTGACTAAATTTACCAGGTTTCAATGGTGCTGCATCAGCTGTTCGAAAGAACACTGAATTTCTGAATATTTTGATGATGATGATTGACACTTTTGGTTGCTGTACCAAATTTTCATGCTACAAATATATTTTTTAACGAATAACAGGAGCTATTCGGAGAGAAAAAGAACAGCACAATGCAAATAGCTATAATTCAGCAAAATTTCTTCTCATTTTTATTAGAAAAGTGTTTTTTTAAAAAAAAAAAAAAAAAAAAAACGTGATCTGGATTTGTTACTTCTACAAGTCATCGTCACTGACTTTTCTTAAGAATTAGTTCGGACCAAAACTTGATTTTTATTTATTATGTTATTTTCTTTTCCTGTTTTTAATCAACCTTCATAATATATGAACTATCACTGATACTTTTTTCCTCTCACATCATTGCATTCTGTTCCTTGCATATTCAATAGAAATTGTAGGGTAGGACTAACTGGTAGCTACTACCTTATACATTATAGTAAACTAGGATAATTTCTAAAATTGCTAATTACCAGTCATTCATTTTTTGTTTAAAATGATAGAAATTACTATATACAAGAATCTGCACATTCCTCACACTATTTCGGACAATAAAACAACAAAAAAAAAAACAGAACTTAAAAAGTTAAGTTGCTAACGAACTCGTATAGATATCGACCTAGCAAATTCACCTCAAATTTCAAGTCTATTAAAAGAGACAAATGAGTAAATAATCAATGTTCGTGAAATTTTCTGTGGTGCGGTTTATTATTTGTTTTGACAAGGTGGTATTCATAAAATTATGTGTCGTATCAAGATACTACATAAATTACTAGAACAGTTGGACATACCGGATTATTATTATTCAGGAATGATGCACAAGTGGAAATAGTTTTTGTTCAGTTCCGGATACAGATGTTTTGAACAAAGAAATGAATATTATAAATCTTAGTGTAAGCGAAGAGAAAGTTTTATGATCTTTTCAGTGACACCATACGCATACACATTGACATTCACTTCGATTGCACAACCAAACAAACAAGTGCAAAGATAAATCTTCGACCAAAAAAAAATCTTTTATCACAGCAAGACGGTATTATTATCAATGATATAATTATTTGTAATACTTCAGTTCTCACTACTGTTTTTCTGACCAAAATTGTTATGTTATAGCATTTTCTTACAACTCAAGAAAGCTGTCACAACCCAAGACTTATCGCAATTTTTATCATTGACAAAAATTTTCTACAAGAAGACAATTTTGCAATGTTTGATTACATTAATTGCTCATCTGCTTGTTTTCAGCATAATACCCTTACTAACTGATTCTATCATTAGCATTAGTGTTATTATTATTAGTGTTATTGTCACTGTTTTTGAGAGCACTACTAATGTCACAGTTAGCAATCAATTATTATGTTGAAGTAAATAAACATAATTTCTTGAAAACTTCATCGTTTATTTTCAATGTCTATTTTGTAAAATTAAATATCTTTGGGGTAATCGCTAAAAATTGTTCGTTGTTTTCGCTAAGGATATTAGCATCATTATTACATTATCATTATCGCTATCATGCTATTATTATTACCACCAACAACATAATCTTTTGGTTGGCAGTAATGAAGAAAATGTCGCATGCGTATGTGTGCGCACCTGCAAGAAGCGGCTTTCACCTTTATTTCCTTTTCGATTTCCACTTCTTCCTTTTCATCGTCTTCAAAAATTTGTTCCAATCCGCTAAAACCAGTTATGATTTGTCGCCCACTACTACTCCTACTTATCTGTACCTTTTTTGGTTGTTTGGTGATGGAGTGTAGCAAGGAGGGTCTTCTCTTCTACCTTCATTTTCACATCTCTCTCTTTCATTTTAGCCCTCTGTAGCTGCTCTTCAACCTTTTTTGAAATACTTTCTTCTTCATCCTTCCACAACAACAACAACAACAACAACAAAAGCAGCAATAGCAGGAGCAGCAGTGACAACCCTAAATGCTTCCCACATCACCTTCACCAATGTCATCCCATAGCACGACAACAGGTGAAAGTTACATAAATGCTAACGTTTACTGTCAAAAATTCGATTTCTAATTAGTTCTTGTGATTTTTTAAAATATTTTCCTACTCTGCTGTGTATGGTGCAATTGATGAAGAGATCGTATGAAATTGAAGGGGATAGTGGTGGTGATATCATAACACAGTGAAGAGTGTAGTTGATAGTATTTATATCGAAAATTCAGCAAGGCAGACATGGCTTCGTTAAAGTCTTCATTAGTAACATTAGCGCATAACTTCTTTTCACAAGCTATGAAATAAAATGAACCGTTTAAATAAGCATATCTCTCGAATTCATGCATAATTTTCAGATCTTTAAATGAAGTGCGAATCCAATGACACTCTTTACCAGATCAACAACTGGAATTATTAATGTCAAATGTTAGTAACAATCTACAGTAAACGGATACCATAAAATCTAGCAGTTGGCCAAAGTACGGTAGCAAAAGAGATGCAATGATGGCTCCCATTAAGCTCCTAACAGCCGCTCGTATCCTCAAAACTGCAAACAAATCCATATCAGTCGTATGAGGGCGTGGCCCTTATCCGACGGTATCTTTGAGGCCTGAAGCTGCTCAGGGCGGAGCCTTGAAAGACGGATGGCTGCACTGACTACAGATAGATATGCATCGCTCCCCAGTTCTATCTATCCTTGATTTAATCAGACAGTCAGTGGGCAGATGGCTCACTTGACAGAGAGGGAGGGAGTCAGTGATCACCGTCTCGGATAGGGTAGAGCTGCTGCTGCTACTGCTACTACTACTGCTGCTGCTGCTGCTGCTATGGTGGTGACAGTGATGATGGCGGTGACGATAACGGTGATGGTGAGGTGATGATGTTTCCTTCCTCTCATCCATTTGCTTACCTGTGATAGGCGCTGATAACGTAATGATATGCCATCCATCCATCCATCCATCCACTCATTCATCCAATCATTGATTTATTTTGGCCATCCCTCACGATCATTCTTATCAGCACTAACAGCAGCACCTGCTTAACTCCCACTAGATCGGTTTCCTTTTTGATAATAACTACTTTCGTCCATACCGTTTCTCTTCTTAATTCTTGGTCAACAACAAACTACCCTAGATTATGTCTAACAGATGACCCGCTATTGCACAATGATAGTATCATTTTTAGTAAAAAAATAAAAAACCTGATCTAAAATTAGTAGAATTAGTCTGGTTTAATTCTTGAAAAAAAAAACGTGGTAATTCAAAACGTTTTTCTGAGTATCTGATTCTGGATAGCGTGATTTTACTTCGCTAAACCTTTTATTGCCGAATGATTTCAATTTCATTCAATTGAAATGAAAAAATTTACTTTTTCCAGTTTTCATTCCAATGACTGTTGCTGTTTAATTAAATTTTATTTTGTTTTGAGGATACTAATTTAAAAAGAATTATATTAGGAAAGAATTTGATTGTTTTTTAGCCGTAAATCATCATCGGTTTTATAACTCACTAGGCTGATCGGACCACCTTTGTGTGTCATGCCATCGGACTTCTTTAATTACTAGGCAATGATAAACACATTACCCAAGACACCGATAATTTTTTTTCCGTTTTTGTTAAGAATGAAGCACATACGAAAAATTTTCACTGTACACAGCAATCGCCTTTCTTTTCCTTATTGCCAATTATTATACTACTATAATTCGCTAAACTTTTAGTAATTGCTTAATGACAATTTCTATTAGAAATAAGGAAATGATTAAGAAATGAGACTATGTTTAGGAATCAAAGACATTCAGTTTTTGTTTTTTATTTTTCGTCACTATTTTAAGCTATTTTAATTACTTGAACTTCTGTAATAATATTCTCATTGTTTTTGTTTCTCTGACTTTTGAAAAATTTTTTCGAGTTTTATTTTTATCTTTAAGTGATCTATAATTTGCTATCCTAAATTTTTGCAATAATATTTTCATTGTTGGGAAGTTACCGCAGAACTTATTATTATTACGGAACGAATTAAAATACATCTTGTGAGCTATGGAATAACAAATCACTGTTCGATGCATTTCAGGACGACTAACCGAGAAGGCGGACTAAAACTATATTAACTGTTGTCAACACTAGTAATACCGCAGAACCCGTCAGTCTCTGGTCCTTATTTAACTTCTGTTTCCGATCGAAAATTTGAACTATTTCTACACTTTTCTTCTTTTCTCCCTTTAAATATATTGTCCCAAACAAGTAAGTCGCACGGTGTTTTCTCATTGATTAATACTCATATTGAATTTAAATTCCCATCCACAAACCTCAATAAACCCTATAGGTAGAAGTTTTCTGAAATTGTCTTGGATAGGAGATGAAAATATGACTTCATTTCTACTTTTTTATTATATTCTTTTATTCAAGGACTGAAGTCATTGATTTTCTCTATGATCAATGATCCGAACTAATAGTTCCAAATATTGAGTTCAGTCTCTAATAGTTGTCTAACTTTTTCCCGAACCTTTACTTTGCTTAGATAATATCTGCATTTCTAGAAAGAGCTGGATTTCCCGTGGGCTACTCGAAAGGATTTAGAATCCCGTTTGATATGAGTATGTTCCCGGTGCGCGTTGTAGTGGAATCGGTTCGACCACAACATTGCCTCACTTGCGCACGTGATGGTCATATGCTTGTCGATTCTTATGCAATTGTTTCCGGTGCGACTTTGCTCAGTCAGCTGGTCGATACAGTGCTTAGTGCTTTAGGCATGCCACAATTAGCCGTCAATTCAAAAGGTTGATCTTTTGACTTTATTTATACTTTAATTCAGCTTTCGAAACGTTTTAGTCACTGATAAAGTTTTTAAATAGTTTCAAAAAGTGTATAGCAAAATCCTACTGATTGATATTCAGAATCTCCAAACATTGTGACGATGTAACATCCTTTGTTTTAAATATATTTTATTCTTTGCTACTTCTTTAAGCAATGATTTAAATTAGGCTTATCTGTATTATCCTTACTACTGCTTAAATCCAAGCCAGAAACTACATCTCCTGGTAGTAACAGTAGCAGGCTGGAATTTGTGTTGGGCAATACTAATCCCCTAAAAGAAGCTAAAGGCTATTATGTTCGTTTGTCGTCTCTCTTTCGAAAATAATTGAAGCGCAGATTAACTAGGATTTAGATTTCTCTCCCAAAATTAAGTGTCAATCAACGACTATATATATTTTTCTTTTTCATTTAGCTTATAATAAATGGTAGTTTTGCATTTTCAGCTAATTTTTTGATATGAGCAAAAATTCCGGATAATGAAAAGACAGGGAAGCAGCAGGGGAGAAGGTAAAGGAAATTCGATGTTACTATTGCTCTTTTTGAGACTTACTGTTATTGACTAATTACTAATTCATTTGTTGATCCCTCTCTAAACAATATTTTTCTCATTTTTTTGCAATTTTTCATATCTCATCTTTACTCTGATTAATTAAGATAGCTACAAAATAACTGTAGTTCTTTTAGATATTTTGCAGTACAAAAATCAGATTTCAGCACATATCATTTATAACTTTTAAAAAAGAACTGTTTACTTACTCATTAATTAATTTAAATTCATTGTCACCCTTTCATCTGGAGTGAATGTATAGCTAAACATCCAACCACAAATTTTGAGTTGAAGTATTATTTAGGCTATAACATGAGGAGACGTCAAAGTAGTCAGCCATTCACTGATCCAATCCTAATCGTTGTAATTATCTTGATCAGCACGATCGTTTACTGTTGCCATTATAACGGTACAGTCATTCTTCAATCTGTTACTCCGTCGGTCAATAAATTAGACGATGAATCCATTTTCTATTTTTCGATATCGAAAGTTAGTGAAAATTCTTGGAAACGCCCTTGAAAACTTCACTGCTGTGGTTGCTGTAGAAAAAGATGAGATCTATGTATTATGTTTATCGATCTCATTGCTTAACGCTACAGAACAGGTATATTAGTTCCTACCGTCCCTCTGTGCATCATCCAATTTGGAATTTTTATAAAACTCCGTCGTGGCCGTCGTTATCTGGTCGACGTTGTCATTGTTTGAGCTAGACTCAGGTTTGCTTTTGAAGAGGGAAAGGAGGATGGAGAGAAGAAGGAGGAAGAAGGGAGAGAAGACGACAGCTATGCAAACTTATTCATTTTTCAAGGTGAGCCAGGCGATTTCCGCGATCTGAGATGATGATAAAGTCGAAGTGACAAGCACTGCGCATACTACCCAACTTATCCTTGAATTTGCTTTTTGTAGAACGAAAGATAGGCAGGAGACTGAGAGAGAATGAGTGAAACTGAGAGAGAGAGAGAGAGAAAGATGTCGAGAGAGAGGATACAACGATTCGGTTGAAAATTCTTTCCCAAATTAACAAAGTCCTAATATCAGATATGGCTAAGGAGTTAACACAAGCTTCATAACTTTTGATTGTGGAGAGGGGACGAGGGAGTTGAAAGGGGCTGAAAGCTATTAATAAAAATAATGGATGCAATCAGTGTATTTCCTTGAAGCTTGATTTTTTGTAAATATTAAACTAAACTATAAAAAGTCACTTGGCAAAAGTGCTGAACGAAGAGCTTGTCACATGTATAGAAATTAATGATAATTGTGGAAATAACTTTCGTATATACAAAAGAACTGATAGAATTAAGGTTAGTTATAAAAAAAAATGATTTTATTCTCTCTCAATAGATCATAGATCATCCATTATTTATCACTGATTCTCATAAAATGAGTCAAATTTGCTACAAATCGTTTACAAAACCTTTTGCAAACTTCACCACAGTTAACTCAAAAATCCGTGAAATGACTAGGACATGACTAGCTTCTACTCATTTTATATTCATTGTTGGTATATGGTATTACCATCTCTCTAATTTCTATTTCAGTAATTTAATTCACGAGAACTTACATAAATTTTATATGTGCTCCTTAAGTATTTAATTTAATTTCATAGTCTCATGACATTTTTAACTGCAAAGAATTTGCAGGAGTAAGTAACAGATTGAAAAATGATTCAAAATATCTTTTTTCTTATACTGCGTTTATATCTTCAATCCTATCGGTGGCTTCACCTTGGTATCGACAGTGTTCTGCCATTTTTGTCAAGGTCGCTTTCTCTTTGTGGAATTGTAAAGAAAAAACGCTTTTGGAAATTTGATTTGGAAAAATTCTAAAAATTTCATTTTGCATCTCATCCTTTCTAAAAATCTCATGCAAGCTGGATATAACTAGATTTCAGAAAACGGAACAGAAAACAAGAGGAATAACCTAATTTTACTTCTCATATTAAATTTCTTATTAACTTTTTAGGATTAATTTGAATAGTAATTACTGAACGGAGACTCTTGTATGACCTTCCTAGCATACCTTCCATTTTTAATCAGCTCTTTTGCATCTTAATATACCTGTCAATCACTGATCATATCCTTTCTTGCCACCCTATCTTCCTGCTCTTCCTTCTCCTTATTAAAAGTGGATTTATTGTTGCTAATTATTTTTGACATATTCACCAAGAATTGAATGTTTATCTCACTTCTTTCACTTTCTATCTTTATCTACGTTGTAAAAATGCTGTATAGATACTATTTTATTACACCATAGTCTATTCGATCAACCATTAAAAGGATGGATCAAACGTATATATCCTAATTACAATATAGTTTCACTACACTTTGTCTTTAAAAATCGCAAAGAATATTGAACTTTTGCTATCACCTAAAATCCTAAAATGTTATGGTGATAGAAAAAGTTCAAAAAAAAAATCTTGGATAAACAACTGTAAAATATTTTAGAATTACTGAAAGAAAATCAAACAATTTTCCTAAATTCACAGCCGATAGCATTCCAGGATATTTTAAGGGAATCTTTTGTCACATATGCAAATACAGAAGTATTAACTTATTGTACAACTAATAACTTTCAACTTTCATTAGAATAAGTTATAGGTAATCTAGCACTACGTAATACTTATCATCATTTTTCTGTTGAATGAGATACGCCATTCAGATCAGGAGAGCGTTGTTGTCAATGCACCTTGAATTTTTATTGCTTCACCTAACGATGACGAACATCGTTGCGATTTGAAAATAAAGAAAGTGGACCTGTTTTTGTGGTTTTGTGGAAAATTTTGGTGAAAGTAGAGAAAAAAGTAATATCAAGGACGATGCTGAGAAGAGTTCCGGTAAAAAGGTGTTGTTTTCTCTGAAGTGCTTATTCCAGAATGGCAAGAGGGAAGAGAGAGGGTAATTGATAGAGTGCTTATTCCTTAAAACAAGTTATTAATTGAAATGAGATGGAGACATGGAAGAGCAGAAAAACCGGGGCAGGGATACGGCAACGAAATATATCTTAGCAGTAAAGGAAGCTCTTCAATGTGAACAAGAAAAAATACCGTCACACATCAAAACCACAAAGTGACTGCAAAATCATAGGTCTTAACAAAGTAACGTCGTATCTTTCTCCTTTTCATTTTTCTTTTATTATAAATGCAATGCTGAGATCCTTAAACAGAACAAAATAATTTTTTTTTCTTTTTAATTTCCAGCACGAAACGTATCATATTATTCACTTCGTCTTTTCCTGTCGTCCGGCAGAGCGCATTAACATTAATATTTAGTAGCAGAGAATGAAAATCCAGAAAAAACTGGTTTTTTTAATCTTCATAAGTCTTGCATAACTCAACCCGAACAACAACTGGTTAGCAACAGCTATGCATTGCTTTGTAAATTCGAAAATTGAAAATTGCTGTCTATTTCATCGCTCCTACTTTTTCTTTCAAGATGAAGAATACAGGTACATTCAAGGCTATTATTGGACTGATTAAAGCAGTGCTGCAATCCCAGTGATTGTTGAAGTTCCACTTATAAAGACTGAAATAAAATTTTGAAAATCTAGCTTCAAAGAAAAAATGAATTAGTTGAAGAAAACGAAGAAAAATGAATTCAAATTTTTTTTTTGCTGTGTTACGTTCACTCTATTTTGAATGAATTCGAAATCCAAATTAAGCTTCAATTGCCTTACAGGCGGAAATTGCTTTGTTTTCTGTCTTCTCAAAAATTTGAATTCTGGATGGTGCCCTTTACTACATAATAAGCTAAAAAGCATTGATTTATGTGATAATGTTTTAATAATTTAATAATTAATTAAAAGCAAAAAAATACTAAGTATATGCAAGTTGTGCCAGGAATTTTTGCTCTGTTAAAGATTAGCACTTTATTCGTTTAAAAATGGAATTAGTGAATTGATAGCAGTAAGTGTAATGCTCAACTTTCTGCAAACAAATTTTTAAGCAAGGCAAGCTATAAGATGGAAAAGCATTATTAAATCTACTAACTGATAAGAAGCAGCTAGAGGATGGATCGGCTTCTAGTTATGTGTCGTTATAAGATGGATGGATGGATGATCATAGTGGTGGTAATAGTAATAATGACTGTATTAATTGCGATAAGCTGATAGAAATTGAATAATGACGTGATCTAATCATCAATCTCACAAAAACATACATACTACTGTATCTAGTTCATCACCTTACAAGAAGACAAACATTCCATTTGGACGAGTTGATGAAGAAGATGCGAACTGAACGAAAAGTAAGCTTTGGATCAAACATGTTATTGTTTGCTGTTAGACATACTATTTTGCTGACATAGTGTGAAATTATTTGATAAACACACTGAGATTTTTATCATTTATTGACTTGGTAAAGTGCTTTCAAGTGAGTGGTATCGATTACGATTTTGTAATCAAAGATAAAACAAATAACATCCTTCATATTTCCTTGTTTCTGCATTTAGCAGTGTCTTCCAGATAGAATACAGTTGATCAAGTTGTCCCTACAACTTAGTGCAATCTATGACGTCTAATTCTATAATTTTTAATTAGAAAGCAAAGATACCAATATTGCAGGCTTGGTACAGGTAGCAAATTGGAAAGCGTTGCCATTCGATCAGATTACGGATAATTTAGACGATACGGTGGAATCATTGCTCAAAGATATCAGCAACCATATCACTCTTAAAATTTTAACTAAACAGTTCGTCATTTTTATTTTGAATTCTTGAACAAAATTTTAAAAATACCCAATTTATGTATTACTGCAGCACATTTCTGCCCGAAAATTGGCAGCAGTTACATTATGTTTTTTAAGCTCATTGTATCTTCCTTAAGAAGATAGGGCTCTATCGTTATTATTTTAATAGGACCAAAAATGAGGCAAGCACATTGAGAAAAGCTTAGCTCAATGAGACATGATTTTTTCTTGCTCTTTAAAGTTTGCGCTCCAGAAAAGTGAAGAGTAATTTGGACTTCGATACTGTCTGACCAGATCTTCAATTGAACGGGAATAGCATAACACCAGTTAAATTTGAATTCATGGGAAATTGATCATAGAGTGGTTATTAATGATAGCATCTTGGCTACAAAGTCAGTAATTACTTTTAATTGAAGTTTCAGTTTGAGAAGTTTCAGCTAAAAAGCGCTATTAATACTAGAAGGAAATGAAATGCCAGTTCTAAATTTATGGTTTTGATAGGAATTTCTGAATTGCTTAAACACCTATTTGCGAAAGGACATAGGTGACATTTGTTTCCGTTTAAAGGGATGACAGAAAGGAGTTTTATTATGAGTGGCTCAACGACTGGCTTACGTTAGTTCAGTGAGCAGGAAGAAATATCCCAAGAGCAGAGCAGAGCAAAGCACCACGGAAAGGGAAGAAAAGACAAGGAAAGGTATGTTAGAGAGGGAAAAGGAGAGATAAGCCGTGTCAGCTAATTTTCATGTGAGTCACCCACCCAGCATACCTCCATAAAGCTTTCTTCATCGCCGTGCACAAAAATCAGATCAAACGGTTCATTTTTACTGGTCGAAAC